GAGAAGAAGAAGAAGAAGAAGAAGAAGAAGAAGAAGAAGAAGAGTTGGAGGAGGAGGAAGGAGAAGTTAGGGAAGGAGAGAAGGTAAAGAAGGGAGAGGAGGACGGAGGGGATGGGGAAGAAGAAGGGAAAGAAGAAAAAGAGGGATTGGAAAAGAAGTAGAAGAAAGAGAAGAAGGAGATCAAGAAGGAGAAGAAGAAGGGGAAGAAGAAGGGGAGAAGGTAAAAAAAGAAGCAGAATGGGAAGGGGGGATAGGGGAAGAAGAAGAGGATGAAGGAGGATGAGGAGGAGGAGGAGAAACAGGGGAAGAAGAAGGGGAACAAGAAAAAGAAAGAAAAGAAGGAATAGGAGGAGGAGGTGAAGAAGGGGAAGAAGGGGAATGAGAAGAATAAAGAGAAGAATGAGAAGAAGCAGGGAAAGAAGAAGGGGAGAAGGTAAAGAAGAAGAAGAAGAAGAAGAAGGGGAAGGGGGGAAGGGGAAGAAGAAGTGGATGAAGAAAAAAGAAGGAGAAGGAGAAACAGGGGAAGAAGAAGGGGAACAAGAAGGGAAAGAAGGAGGGGGAGGGGGAGGTGAAGAAGGGAAAGAAGAAGGGGAATGAGAAGAATAAAGAGAAGAAAGAGAAGAAGAAGGGAAAGAAGAAGGAGAAGGAAGGAGAAGGAGAGGGAGACAAAGAAGGAGAAGAAGGGAAAGAAGAAGGGGAGAAGGTAAAAAAGAAGAAGGGGAATAAGAAAATGGAGAAAGGAAGGAGAAGGAGAAGAATAAAAAGAAGAGGAAAAGGAAAAAGAACGTAAGGAGAAGAAGAAGGTGAAGGAGAAGAATAAACAGGAGGAGGGGGGAGGAGGGGGGAGGGAGGGGAGGAGGAGGAGGGGGGAGAGGAGGAGGAAGAAGAAGAAGAAGAAGGAGGCGGAGAAGGAGGAAAAGAAGGGGAAGAAGAGGGGAAGAAGAAAGATGTGAGAGAAGAAGAAGAAGAAGATCAAGAAGATCAAGAAGGGAAAGAAGAAGGAGAAGAAGAAGAAGGGGAGGAAGAAGATGCCATCAGGGAAGGAGGCAGGAAGGGGATCCCCCCACGGACCCACTTATACCCCCTCCTACCCAGAGAGAGAGGCCTACCTTGGCTCCGCTCCTGTGGTGTGGCGTCGATGACCTGCCATCCGCTGTAGGAGCCCCCCAGGTCTCCGCGCACGAACCAGCACTCGTTCCACACATGGTAGTCCCTGCATGGAAGGGTCAAGAAAAGAGAGAGAGGGGGGGGGGGAAAGGTCAGTTCAAGCTTCCTCTGCGGAACCAGGGGGGTTCTGGCCCAGCAGAGCCCCATGGAGGAGGAGGAGGAGGAGGAGGCGGAGGAGTGGCTCTATCCTATGGACATACGGAAAGTTTATTAAATTGCCCAAACTTTGTCTTTGTGGGAGGGACATCCTGCTATTACACAGTTTGCTCGTTTTCCAATGTATATCTCACCATCGAGTCTCAACCCATTTGTACAGAAGTTGATTGTAAATGATATGATTATAAACTGTATTGATTGTAAATGATATTATTAAAACTGTATTTGTGTTTACACTGGTTGCCCTAATGCTGGAGCGGCCTAGCTGTGAGGAGTGTGTTACCATGGAAACGATGCTAATGCTGGAGCGGCCTAGCTGTGAGGAGTGTGTTACCATGGAAACGATGCTAATGCTGGAGCGGCCTAGCTGTGAGGAGTGTGTTACCATGGAAACAATGCTGTAGAGAAGTGGGAGGAGCTTAGAGAGGGGAGTTTTGAAAAGCGACAGTTAAAAGTCAGTTAGGTTTTATGCTCAGAGGAATGAAGAGTTAGGTTTAGGCTCAGGGAAGTGAAGAGTTGAGAGAGAGAGAGAGAGTGGGAAGTAGAGAAGCAGTGTTTGTGAATAGTCGGAGGTTTCTTCAGTTCGGGAAGGCTGAAGGGGAAACCTTATTAGTTTTATTAGTTAGAGAAGACTAATAGAAGCTCGTTTAGATCACTAGTTAAAAGTGAACTAGAGATCTGAGGTTTGATCACGGAAGGGTCAAACAGGAAGACTATTCACCTCAGGAACCATTGTTTAATAAAGTGCTTCACCACAGCAAAGGTTATTTATAAGTTGTAACATCAGAAGACTGAACTGTATCGCAACCAAGTTATATGTAACGTTCTCCAAGTATTTTCCAAGTTTATCACCAAACTGCAACCATACGCTTTGTTTCAAAATAAACTTGTTCTCTTTGATTGTAAAACTGCCTCATCTCCATTAATTCTGCGTTTAGTGTGCCCAATCTCCCAAAATTACCTCACATCACCAAATTGGTGGCACCATTAAGGATAATAAATAATAAATCGTAACTTCTCTCTCCTGAGACCTCCCTTACCGAATTTGGGGCCTGAGCTCCTTCGCACCATTCAACATAGTTTCTGCCCCCAAAATGAAGTACCACACAATTAAATAAGAAATATCACTTTCAAATGAGGAACAGAACACTAGGACAGGCATGAGCAAACTTGGGCCCTCCCTCCAGGTGTTTCGGAGTTTGACTCCCACAATTACTAACAGCCTACTGACTGTAGGAATTGTAGGAGTTGAAGTCCAGTACACCTGGAGGGTCAAAATTTGCATATGCCTGCACTAGGGCTAGAAGCGTAGGCCAAGCGTAGACACCCCACCTGACACCTTGTGTCTGCCTCCTCCTCCTCCTGCAAGATTCTGCAGTTTGCAGTTTAGTGGAAGGAGTTTCCAAATGCTCAGTCTAAAAGATCCTGTATCTCGGACCAGGTTGTGGTGCAGCTGGTTGGGAATCAGCTGCATTAAAATCACGACTGACCGAAAGGTCATAAGTTCGAAGCCAGATAGGTCGGAGTAAGCTCCCGACCATTTGTCTAGCTTGCTGTCGACCTTTGCAGCCTGAAAGACAGTTGCGGTTGGCGGGGACGAGAGACAGGGCCTTCTCGGTGGTGGCCCCTCGGCTATGGAATGCCCTACCAGTGGACATCAGGCAGGCTCCTTCGTTACTGGTGTTTCGGAGGAGGGTGAAGACGTGGCTCTATGAACAGGCATTTGGATAACTATGCAATGACAATTAACTCAGTAAGACGGCATTGGAACAAGGAACGGAAAAGGATTGTGAGAACGGGATCTGATTCTAATTGAGGCGTCGATGACTATGTGTGTTGTTTGTGTATGTGCGTCTTATATATTGTTCAGTGTTGCCCATTTTTATTGTAAACCGCATTGAGTCGCCATCTCAGGCTGATAAATGCGGTATACAAATGGAGTAAATAAATAAATAAATAAAATAAATGTCAAGTAGGAAATTTAGGGGAGGCTAATTTAACTAATTTACGATGCCATAAAACTCTCCAGCAGTGTGCAAAAGAATGAGGAAGTACTCCATCGGTGTCACAAGTGGACGGTGAAGTGACAGCTCCCCCGGTGGCTGGAATTCAAAGCATACCCTCAGGAAGCTGGAAAGTTAAATAGCCTTTGTGTGTCTGTCTATATATGTTGTGTGTCTATGGCATTGAATGTTTGCCGTGTATATGTGCATTGCGATCCACCCTGAGTCCCCTGCGGGGTAAGAAGGGTGGAATGCAAATACTGTAAATAAATAAATAAATAAATATCTCACTAAACTACAACTCCCAGAACTCTGCAGTAGAATAGAATAAAATAGAATAGAATTGCTTTATTGTCATTGTACATTTCAGAGCATCTCCAATCACATTATGTGTGTAGAAATTACAAAACAAAACACCTATTCTTCCGCATTCTCCTCGTTATTGCACAACCCTGTAATGCCACATTAGTGTGAAACCTTAGAGTTCAATATAATCTGGGATAAAAGCTTTCTCTCAGCCTATTTGTCCTTGTTTTTATCATCCTATACCAGTGGTTCTCAACCTGGGGTCCCCAGATGTTTTTGGCCTACAACTCCCAGAAATCCCAGCCAGTTTACCAGCTGTTAGGATTTCTAGGAGTTGAATCCTAGAATCAAAGAATTGGAAGAGACCTCCTGGGCCATCATCCAGTCCACCCCCATTCTGCCAAGGAGCAGGAATATTGCATTCAAATCACCCCTGACAGATGGCCATCCAGCCTCTGTTTAAAGGCTTCCAAAGACGGAGCCTCCACCACACTCCGGAGCAGAGAGTTCCACTGCTGAACGGCTCTCACAGTCAGGAAGTTCTTCCTCATGTTCAGGTGGAATCTCCTCTCTTGTAGTTTGAAGCCATTGTTCCCTTGCGTCCTAGTCTCCAGGGAAGCAGAAAACAAGCTTGCTCCCTCCTCCTCCCTGGGCTTCCTCTCACATATTTATACATGGCTATCATATCTCCTCTCAGCCTTCTCTTCTTCAGGCTAAACATGCCCAGCTCCTTAAGCCGCTCCTCATAGGGCTTGTTCTCCAGACCCCTGATCTGCTCCCTCCTCCCTGTGGCTTCCTCTCACATATTTATACATGGCTCTCATGCCTCCTCTCAGCCTTCTCTTCTTCAAGGCTAAACATGCCCAGCTCCTTAAGCCGCTCCTCATAGGGCTTGTTCTCCAGACCCCTGATCTGCTCCCTCCTCCCTGTGGCTTCCTCTCACATATTTATACATGGCTCTCATATCTCCTCTCAGCCTTCTCTTCTTCAGGCTAAACATGCCCAGCTCCTTAAGCCGCTCCTCATAGGGCTTGTTCTCCAGACCCTTAATCTGCTCCCTCCTCCCTGTGGCTTCCTCTCACATATTTATACATGGTTATCATATCTCCTCTCAGCCTTCTCTTCTTCAGGCTAAACATGCCCAGCTCCTTAAGCCGCTCCTCATAGGGTTTGTTCTCCAGACCCCTGATCTGCTCCCTCCTCCCTGTGGCTTCCTCTCACATATTTATACATGGCTATCATATCTCCTCTCAGCCTTCTCTTCTTCAGGCTAAACATGCCCAGCTCCTTAAGCCGCTCCTCATAGGGCTTGTTCTCCAGAGCCTTGATCGTCTCCCTCTCTCCCTGTGGCTTCTTCTCACATATTTATACATGGCTATCATATCTCCTCTCAGCCTTCTCTTCTTCAGGCTAAACATGCCCGACTCCTTAAGCCGCTCCTCATAGGGCTTGTTCTCCAGACCCTTGATCATTTTAGTCACTTTAGTCAGGTGGGGTGCTTACTCTTGGCCTACTCCTTCAGCCCTAGGGTGAGAAGGCACTTTCAAAACTGTATAAACAGCTCTAACAAGGGGTCCTTTACCAGACGGAGTCCTGCCCGATCTTGAGGCTCTTCCCGGAGGGGTCATAGTACTTATCGATGGCCAGGTTGTGGTCTGCATCGTGGGCAGAGTTGAAGTTGGTTATGAGCCGCGTGGGGATGCCCAGGCAGCGCAGCGCTGTAGGAAGGAGAGGGAGGCAAGGATAGAAGCATATCAGATATCATATAGAGAATACAAGTATATATGTACATGTCTTCTATACTTATTTAAGTAAGTATATAAGATAGGTGGGGGCGGCATGAAAGGATATATGGAAGCAACTCCTGGCATGAAAACAATCAATCAAACAAACAAAAAATGTATTGTTGAAGGCTTTCATGGCTGGAATCACTGGGTTTATTTATCTTCTATCTATCTATAAAAATGCTCTGTGCATAATGAGTACCTTAAAAACAAAAGAACCAATGAACGAAATCACACCAAATTTGGCAACAAAACGTCTCACAACACAAGTAGTGACCATCACTCAAAAAATTATGATTTTGTCATTTGGGAGTTGTAGTTGCTGGGATTTATAGTTCACCTACAATCAAAGAGCATTCTGAACTCCATCAACGATGGAATTGACCCAAACTTGGCACACAGAACTCCCATGACCAACAGAAAATACTGGAAGGGTTTGGTGGGCATTGACCTTGAGTTTTGGAGTTGTAGTTCACCTACATCCAGAGAGCACTGTGGACTCAAACAATGATGGATCTGGACCAAACTCTACACAAATACTCAATATGCCCAAATGTGAACACTGGTGGAGTTTGGGGAAAATACAATCTTGACATTTGGGAGTTGTGGTTGCTGGGATTTCTAGTTCACCTACAACCACAGAGCATTCTGAACTCCACCAATGATAGAATTGGGGTAAACTTCCCATACAGAACCCTCATGTGGGCCACAGCAACGTGTGGCAGGGGATGGCTATATATAGAGCCCCCAGTTGTGCAGTGGGTTAAAGCAGTGAACTGCTAAACTTGGTGACTGAAAGGTCAGCAATTTGAATCTGGGGAATGGGGTGAGCTTCTGCTGTTAGCCCCAGCTTCTGACAACCCATCAGTTCGAAAACATGCAAATGTGAGTAGATCAATAGGTACTGCTCTGGCGAGAAAGTAATGGCACTCTGTGCAGTCATGCCAGTGGCCACATGACCTTGGAGGCACCTAAGGACAATGCCGGCTCATTGGCCTACAAATAGAGATGAGCACCAACCCTAGAGTCGGACATGACTGGACTTAATGTCAGGGGAAAACCTTTTCCCACACACACACACACACACACACCCTATATATGAGTATGTAAGAAGGGCGGGGGCACGAGGGCGGGCCCACTGGCACCTGCAGCCCCTCTCTCCCCCTTAGAATCATAGAATTCTAGAATCCTAGGGTTGGAAGAGACCTCATGGGCCATCCAGTCCAACCCCAGTCTGCCAAGAAGCAGGAATATTGCATTCAAATCACCCCTGACAGATGGCCATCCAGCCTCTGCTTAAAAGCCTCCAAAGAAGGAGCCTCCACCACACTCCGGGGCAGAGAGTTCCACTGCTGAACAGCTCTCACAGTCAGGAAGTTCTTCCTCATGTTCATGGAATCTCCTTTCTTGTAGTTTGAAGCCATTGTTCCATTGCGTCCTAGTCTCCAAGGAAGCAGAAAACAAGCTTGCTCCCTCCTCCCTGTGGCTTCCTCTCACATATTTATACATGGCTCTCATCATGTCTCCTCTCAGCCTTCTCTTCTTCAGGCTAAACATGCCCAGCTCCTTAAGCCACTCCTCATAGGGCTTGTTCTCCAGACCCTTGATCATTTTAGTCGTCCTCCTCTGGACACATTCCAGCTTGTCAACATCTCTCTTCAATTGTGGTGCCCAGAATTGGACACAATATTCCAGGTGTGGTCTAACCAAGGCAGAATAGAGCATGGGGAGCATGACTTCCCTAGATCTAGACACTAGGCTCCTATTGATGCAGGCCAAAATCCCATTGGCTTTTTTTGCCGCCACATCACATTCCTGGCTCATGTTTAACTTGTTGTCCACGAGGACTCCAAGATCTTTTTCACACGTACTCCCCCCCCCCCCCGAGGCCCCTCCCTCCTTACCTGTGGCGGCCACTCCGGCGAAGACCCAGCACTGTCCGTACTGGACGGGGCGGTACCTGTCCTTGGCCCACTTCCAGAGGATGGCCACGCTCCCGTCCCAGCGCGAGGGGTTCTCGTGGTGCGCGAACTCCTCGCTCCACTTGCCCTCCAGCACCCCGTTGTCATTGTCATTGCCATTCACCTGTGGTGGAGGGGGGGGAGAAGGGGGCAGGGGGTGTCAGATGGAGGCGAGGGGGCGTGCGGCTTTCCTTGGCCCCTCCCTGCCCCACCCTGGGGGAGGGGTCTCACCATGGAGCTGACCACGCGGGAGACGTAGCGGGGGTCTCCACGGCGCGCGGTGTCCCCGGCGGCGTCCTTCCGGTGGTAGAGGCTCAGGTCCAAGAGCAGCAGGCACAGGTCCAGGATGCTCTTCTGGAACTGGAGGGAGGATGGAGGAGGGCAGGGTTTATTGATTATGTATTGACAGTATTGATATTCCGCCCTTCTCGCCCTGCAGTGGACTCAGGGCAGATTACAATGTACATATACATGGAAAACATTCAATGCCAAAGACACCCAACAGATATAGACAGACAGTCAGAGGCTATTTAACTTTTCTGACCGCCAGGGGAGCTGTTGCTTTCATCGTCCATCTGCGACACTGATGAAGTACTTCCATATTCCCCACATGCTTTTTTATGGCCTCGTAAATTAGTTAAATTAGCCTCCCCACACATAGGTGGTACCTAATTTTCCTACTTGACAGATGCAACTGTTTTTCAGGTTGCAAAGGTCGACAACAAGCTACACAATTGGTCGGAAGCTCACTCTGACCCGGGCTGGCTTCGTACTCATGACCTTTTGGTCAGAAGTGATCTTAATGCAGCTGACACTCATCCACCTGCGCCACAGTCCCGGTTGGGGGCTGCCCATCTCTGGGGGCCCCCTGCCCTGCCGCCACAGACCCACAGACCCACCTGCCCATAGTACCAGCCCCGGGCTTCGATGTACTTGGCGTTGCCCACGAAGATGATGCCGTTCTCGTTGAGGACATACTCCTGCCGTGAGGCCTCATCACTCAGGTAGACCGGGTCACCTGGGAAAAGAAAGGGGGCGGGAGGGGGGGGCAGACACCCAAACAGCACTTCAGCATCAGGGGGAGGGTCATCATAGAATCCTAGGGTGCTAGGGCTGGAGGGAGCCCCAAAGGTCAACCAACACCAGACAGGTGGCCCCTGCTTAATGGTGGTGATGACGATAATAATAATAATAATAATAATAATAATATTCTGGAATCATAAGATCCTCAAGTTGGTGGGGATTCCAAAGACCAACCAGTCCAACCCCCAACATGTGGTCCTCAGGCCCCTGCTTCATGGTGGTGATAATAATAATAATAATAATAATAATAATAATAATAATAATAATAAAAAATACTGGAATCATAAGATTCTCAAGTCGGTGGGGACCCCAAAGGCCAACCAGTCCAACCCCTGACATGTGGCCCTCAGGCCCCTGCTTCATGATGGTGATAATAATAATAATAATAATAATAATAATAATAATAATAATAATATACTGGAATCATAAGATTCTCAAGTCGGTGGGGACCCCAAAGGCCAACCAGTCCAACCCCTGACATGTGGCCCTCAGGCCCCTGCTTCATGATGGTGATAATAATAATAATAATAATAATAATAATAATAATAATAATAATATACCGGAATCATAAGATTCTCAAGTCGGTGGGGACCCCAAAGGCCAACCAGTCCAACCCCTGACATGTGGCCCTCAGGCCCCTGCTTCATGATGGTGATAATAATAATAATAATAATAATAATAATAATAATAATAATAATAATGCTGGAATCATAAGATTCTCAAGTCGGTGGGGACCCCAAAGGCCAACCAGTCCAACCCCTGACATGTGGCCCTCAGGCCCCTGCTTCATGATGGTGATAATAATAATAATAATAATAATAATAATAATAATAATAATAATACTGGAATCATAAGATTCTCAAGTCGGTGGGGACCCCAAAGGCCAACCAGTCCAACCCCTGACATGTGGCCCTCAGGCCCCTGCTTCATGATGGTGATAATAATAATAATAATAATAATAATAATAATAATAATAATAATAATAATAATGCTGGAATCATAAGATTCTCAAGTCGGTGGGGACCCCAAAGGCCAACCAGTCCAACCCCTGACATGTGGCCCTCAGGCCCCTGCTTCATGATGGTAATAATAATAATAATAATAATAATAATAATAATAATAATAATAACATAAAAATACTGGAATTATAAGATCCTCGAGTCGGTGGGGACCCCAAAGACCAACCAGTCCAACCCCTGACAGGTGGCCCTCAGGCCCCTGCTTAATGGTGGGGATAATAATAGTAATTAATACTGGAATCATAAGATCCTCGAGTCGGTGGGGACCCCAAAGACCAACCAGTCCAACCCCTGACATGTGGCCCTCAGGCCCCTGCTTCATGATGGTGATAATAATAATAATAATAATAATAATAATAATAAAAAAAAAATACCGGAATCATAAGATTCTCAAGTCGGTGGGGACCCCAAAGGCCAACCAGTCCAACCCCTGACATGTGGCCCTCAGGCCCCTGCTTCATGATGGTGATAATAATAATAATAATAATAATAATAATAATAATAATAATAATAATAATACTGGAATCATAAGATTCTCAAGTCGGTGGGGACCCCAAAGGCCAACCAGTCCAACCCCTGACATGTGGCCCTCAGGCCCCTGCTTCATGATGGTGATAATAATAATAATAATAATAATAATAATAATAATAATAATAATAAAATACCGGAATCATAAGATTCTCAAGTCGGTGGGGACCCCAAAGGCCAACCAGTCCAACCCCTGACATGTGGCCCTCAGGCCCCTGCTTCATGATGGTGATAATAATAATAATAATAATAATAATAATAATAATAATAATAATACTGGAATCATAAGATTCTCAAGTCGGTGGGGACCCCAAAGGCCAACCAGTCCAACCCCTGACATGTGGCCCTCAGGCCCCTGCTTCATGATGGTGATAATAATAATAATAATAATAATAATAATAATAATAATAATAAAAAATACCGGAATCATAAGATTCTCAAGTCGGTGGGGACCCCAAAGGCCAACCAGTCCAACCCCTGACATGTGGCCCTCAGGCCCCTGCTTAATAATAATAATAATAATAATAATAATAATAATAATAATACTGGAATCATAAGATTCTCAAGTCGGTGGGGACCCCAAAGGCCAACCAGTCCAACCCCTGACATGTGGCCCTCAGGCCCCTGCTTCATGATGGTGATAATAATAATAATAATAATAATAATAATAATAATAATAATAATAATACTGGAATCATAAGATTCTCAAGTCGGTGGGGACCCCAAAGGCCAACCAGTCCAACCCCTGACATGTGGCCCTCAGGCCCCTGCTTCATGATGGTGATAATAATAATAATAATAATAATAATAATAATAATAATAATAAAAAAAATACTGGAATCATAAGATTCTCAAGTCGGTGGGGACCCCAAAGACCAACCAGTCCAACCCCTGACAGGTGGCCCTCAGGCCCCTGCTTAATGGTGGGGATAATAATAGTAATTAATACTGGAATCAATAATAATAAAAATACTGGAATCATAAGATTCTCAAGTCGGTGGGGACCCCAAAGACCAACCAGTCCAACCCCTGACAGGTGGCCCTCAGGCCCCTGCTTAATGGTGGGGATAATAATAGTAATTAATACTGGAATCATAAGATCCTCGAGTCGGTGGGGACCCCAAAGGCCAACCTGTCCAACCCCTGACATGTGGCCCTCAGGCCCCTGCTTCATGATGGTAATAATAATAATAATAATAATAATAATAATAATAACAATAAAAAATACTGGAATTATAAGATCCTCGAGTCGGTGGGGACCCCAAAGACCAACCAGTCCAACCCCTGACAGATGGCCCTCAGGCCCCTGCTTAATGGTGGGAATAATAATAGTAATTAATACTGGAATCATAAGATCCTCGAGTCGGTGGGGACCCCAAGGGCCACCCAGTCCAACCCCCGACAGATGGCCACCCAGCCAGTGCTTGACGATGGTGATGATTATGATAGTAATAATAATACTGGAATCATAGGATGCTAGAGTCGGAGGGGATCCCAAAGACCACCCAGTCCAACCTCCGACAGATGGCCCTTAGGCTCCTGCTTGATGGTGATGGTGGGAATAGCAACAACAACAACAACAACAACAGAATCATAGGATCCTCAAGTCAGAGGGGACCCCAAGGGCCATTCATGTTGGGCGATGGCCCTCTGCTAGTGCTTGGTGATGAGGATGATGATGAAGATGATAGAATCATAGGATCCTAGAGTCGGAGGGGATCTGAAAGGCCACCCAGTCCAACCCCAGACAGATGGCTCTTGGACTGCTGCTTGATGGTGGTGATAAGAATAGTAATTAATACTGGAATCATAAGATCCTCCAGTTGGTGGGGATCCCAAAGGTCACCCAGTCCAACCCCTGACAGATGGCCATCCAGCCAGTGCTTGATGATGGAGATGATTATGATACCAATAATAATACTGGGATCATAGGATGTTAGAGTCGCTAATAATAGTAATAATATTAATTATTATTATTAAAGACCTAGGCCTGCACTTACAACTAACCGGCGCTGACAAAATTACCACCTGTCAACTGCAATAGGCTATCCTACTTGGATCTGCACGCATTGTTTGCCAATACATCACACAGTCCTAGACACTTGAGACGGGTCCGATGTGTAATCCAATACAATAGCCAGCAGAGTGACCTTGTTTGCTGTGGACTCATCTTGCTTTATATCTAATAATAATAATAATAATAATAATAGAATCCTGGGATCCTAAAGTTGGAAGGGATTCCAAGGGTCATCCAGTCCCACCCCATTCTGCCAGGCAGGGAAAGCACAATCCAAGTACCTCCACTGCTTGATGGTGGTGGTGGTGATGATGATAATAATAATAATAATACTAGAACCATGGGATGCTAGAGTCAGAGGGGATCCCAAGGGCCATCTAATCCAACCCCTGAGAGATGGCCACCTAGCTAGTGCTTGATGGTGATGATCGAATCATGAGATCCTAGAGTTCAAGGAGACCTCAAGGGTCATCCAATCCCCCATTCTGCCAGGCAAGGAAAGCACAATCCAAGCACCCCCGACATATGGCCCTCCAACCACTGCATGATGCTGATGGTGATGATGATGATGATAAAATCATAGGATCCTAGAGTCGGAGGGGATCCCAAAGGTCACCCAGTCCAACCCTTGACAGATGGCCACCCAGCCAGTGCTTGATCCTGCTGTTGTGCTGGTGGTGGTGGTGCTGCTGATAATAATAATAATAATAATAGTAGTAGTAGTAGTAGTAGTAGTATCATGGGATCTTAGCATTGGAGGGAACTCCAAGGGCCACCTAGTTCAACCCCATTATGCTAGGAAGGGACAGCACAATCCAAGCACCCCTGACAGATGGCCCTCCAACCAATGCATGATAATAATGATGATGATGATGATGATGATGGTAACGATGATGATAAAATCATAGGATCCTAGAGTCGGAGGGGATCCCAAAGGTCCCCCAGCCCAAGCCCCGACAGATAATAATAATAATAATAGTAGTAGTAGTAGTAGTAGTAGTAGTATCATGGGATCTTAGCATTGGAGGGAACTCCAAGGGCCACCTAGTTCAACCCCATTATGCTAGGAAGGGACAGCACAATCCAAGCACCCCTGACAGATGGCCCTCCAACCAATGCATGATAATAATGATGATGATGATGATGATGATGGTAACGATGATGATAAAATCATAGGATCCTAGAGTCGGAGGGGATCCCAAAGGTCACCCAGTCCAACCCTTGACAGATGGCCACCCAGCCAGTGCTTGATCCTGCTGTAGTGCTGGTGGTGGTGGTGCTGCTGATAATAATAATAATAATAATAGTAGTAGTAGTAGTAGTAGTAGTAGTATCATGGGATCTTAGCATTGGAGGGAACTCCAAGGGCCACCTAGTTCAACCCCATTATGCTAGGAAGGGACAGCACAATCCAAGCACCCCTGACAGATGGCCCTCCAACCAATGCATGATAATAATGATGATGATGATGATGATGATGGTAACGATGATGATAAAATCATAGGATCCTAGAGTCGGAGGGGATCCCAAAGGTCACCCAGTCCAACCCTTGACAGATGGCCACCCAGCCAGTGCTTGATCCTGCTGTAGTGCTGGTGGTGGTGGTGCTGCTGATAATAATAATAATAATAATAGTAGTAGTAGTAGTAGTAGTAGTAGTATCATGGGATCTTAGCATTGGAGGGAACTCCAAGGGCCACCTAGTTCAACCCCATTATGCTAGGAAGGGACAGCACAATCCAAGCACCCCTGACAGATGGCCCTCCAACCAATGCATGATAATAATGATGATGATGATGATGATGATGGTAACGATGATGATAAAATCATAGGATCCTAGAGTCGGAGGGGATCCCAAAGGTCACCCAGTCCAACCCTTGACAGATGGCCACCCAGCCAGTGCTTGATCCTGCTGTAGTGCTGGTGGTGGTGGTGCTGCTGATAATAATAATAATAATAATAGTAGTAGTAGTAGTAGTAGTAGTAGTATCATGGGATCTTAGCATTGGAGGGAACTCCAAGGGCCACCTAGTTCAACCCCATTATGCTAGGAAGGGACAGCACAATCCAAGCACCCCTGACAGATGGCCCTCCAACCAATGCATGATAATAATGATGATGATGATGATGATGATGGTAACGATGATGATAAAATCATAGGATCCTAGAGTCGGAGGGGATCCCAAAGGTCCCCCAGCCCAAGCCCCGACAGATGGCCACTCAGCCAGTGCTAGATGAGGATGGTGATGATGATGATGATGATGATGATGATGATGATGATGATAATAATAGAATCATCATCATCATGGGATCTTAGCATTGGAGGGGACTCCAAGGGTCATCTAGTCCAACCTCTGACAGGTGGCCACTCAGCCAGTGCTTGATGCTGCTGCTGTTAGTGCTGATAATAATAATAATAATAATAATAATAATAATAATAATAATATAATAGTTTCATGGGACCCTAGAACTGGACCCCAAAGGCCACCCAGTCCAACCCCTGACATGTGGCCACGCAGCCAGTGCTTGATGCTGGTGCTGATAATAATCCTAATAATAATAATAATAATAATAGTTTCATGGGATCCTAGAGGGGACCCTAAGGGCCATCTAGTCCAACCCCCGACAAGTGGCCACCCAGCCAGTGCTGGATGAGAGTGCTGATGAGAATAATAATCCTGCGTGGAGGGGCCCCTCGAGGCCACCCAGTCCGGCCTGTCGGGGCCCTCCCTGTGTCCCTCCCTCCCCCCTCCCTGGCTGTGTCCCTCGTGGGGACTGACCTGAGCACCAGGGGTTGAAGAGCAGGACGAACTGGCCGAGGAGGCGGGCGTTTCCCTGCCCGACCCGGAGGCTGAGCTTCCACCGCCCGACGGGGGCCGAGGCCGGGCTGGTCAGCGAGAAGGAGAGCTGGTTGCCCTCGCGGCCCACCAGCGACGCCCCCCACGCCCCGCCGCCCCCGCCACCGAAGGAGGCGCGCGTGCCCTGGGACTCCGACGGGGACGAGCCTGCGGGGAGACAGAGATGGGGGGGGGGCAGTCAAGGCATGCCCGTCTCTATAGCCTTCCCCTACACCCCCCCCCCCCCCCCCACTCCCTCCCTCCCGATACCCCTCCTCACCGGTCTCGGCGACGAAGGAGAAGGCCTCCCCGCCCTGCGGGGCTTGGCTCAGGTAGACGGTGAAGGTGAACTCCTGCCCGCGGCGGAAGACCGGCTCCGAGGACGAGAAGCGCGACGTCCGGTGCGCCTGCCCGTTCGAGGGCGACTGCCAGTTCATGTGGGTCGGGGTCAGCTCTGCAAGGGGGACGGGGGGGG